AGCATCTTGCAGGTTGTCAGTTAAACCTTGGCCAGAGCTGAAGAGGGCTCCCAGCCTTTGGACAGTCCGTTTGTATGTTAGGGGGAAGCCTTAAGCTTTCCCTCTAGTGGTTAAACACTCTGTTAAAGGAACCTTTATTTGTTTTCATAATAGACTTGTCTTTTTATTTCTTGCTGTAGATTTGGCCTGGCACCTGGGCACCTCACATTGGAAACATGCATCTCAAGTACGTCAACTGATTTAAGGGGGTCTATCCTTTTTTAGCCTTGTTTGGGAATCTTTATGATCTTGAAGAACCCTGGGGATTTTTTAATGTGCCTAACTAAGCAATTTTCTGTGGGCTGTAACAATGGAAACTTGATCGCCCGTTGTATAAGAACAAATTGATTTACCTATACAAACTGATTCTGTTCTCTAGTTAGTTTAGCCATTTTGAACTTTAAAATCAGATTAAACTAGTGCTTTTGGCTAAACACTACTGAACACTCCTTGTATGCAGCAGAGAACTAGCTATTACATGATTTCAACCTTTTAGGGTGGTAAATACATGTATAATTGTTTACATACTTAAAAGGAAAAGCTGAGTAAATTTCATGTCGTATAGTGGCTCTACTTTATGTAGCCTGTATTATGTGAAATATTTACCTGAATATTCAATAAAAGGCAAACAGTATTTATAGGTTGTGTGTGAGAATTTTGGAAGAGGCTATATGTTGTTGTCATCGGAAGCTGCTGCCGTGCCCAGTGATGCATCTTTTCAGTGTCACCTAATTAGCAAGTGGATACAGTCAGCGTTTGGGGTGGAGGGTTTTGATATGCAGTCGTCTGTGATACGAGGTCTGCTCAGTTGTTCCCCCTGCCAGTTGTTAGCCCTTTTTTTTTTTTCATGTGAACACAGTTGTGCATTACTTTTTCCTACTGGTTTAGTTCTGCTGCTTCTAGCACTCTTTTCCCAGATGGGTTCCTTGAGAGATCAGGTTTTGTTCAGGGACTGGAAATAAGGGCTGAGTTGACAATGTGGCAGCTGATGGCATCTTAATTTGCAGAAGGTAAATAGGTAGCTCATAGGTAAATGCAGGGTTTCTTCACCTGACTCGCTGTGACCAGCTGCTAGCAGATCTTAGGAAAGCGGAGACCACTTCCCACTAGAGAAAAATGTCATATATACAATTCTAAGCTTCTTGTAACTCTTTAAATCTGGTAAAAGCTCCTCAAGTCCTTTCTGTGAGGAAGAAGGGGATTTTTGCAGACTGCTTAAGGTGAATATCCATTCTCTACCCAGGTGCAGAAGTTCTCCTCTTTCTGAACTTGGACTATGTTTATTTCTGCTTTTGTTCAGTGGCAATGCAGTAACTACACTGAATATTTGGTCCATTCCTCAAGCAGGTGATGACAGTGCATGTAGTGTCCAATCTAATGGACCACTTTCTGTGGTCTCTCAGACCAGATGGAGACTTCTCCACCTTCTCTGGACAAATCCTTACATGCAGCAGCAAAGTTTCCCCAGGAAAAGCATGAGGAAGGAGTACTGAAAACCCAAAGTGCACAAGCAATATCAGAGTACTGCAGGCAAATAGGCCTCGAAATGCTACTGGATGATCTATTCAGATATTCTTCCTAGTATTTCAGGAAGAAATGCAAAAAAACATTGAACTGCTGCTGCTCCCCCATAGTGCAAACACCAAAGGAGAAATACTTGTGTTAAGAGTAATTGTATTGAAAACAAATGGTATTGTAGTGCAATAGGTGTTTGCTCTTGGAGTGAGTTGCAGGTGAGGGGTGGGGCCTTAGGCCCCTCCCCCACCCCACCCATGTGGGCTCCATGGCTGCAATGGGCACAGCCACCTCCTCCTGCCCCATCCCGGGGAGCCACCATCTCCCTATCCCGGAGGGCTACAGCTCTACACCAGGTGGCACAGTCTTACCACACCAGGGGGTAAGAACCAGCATGGGGATGGGGTTGTCCTTTGAATGGAATGGTGGCCTCAGCTGCCCCATCCCTGCCTAATTTAGGCAGCTCCTTCCTGAGCGGGTCCCTTCCTGGGATCTCCACCTTGCAGCTTGGTCCTTAGGGGCATGGGCACCTGCTCTGGGCGCCAGATCCTGGCAGGCCCATGGGGTGGTGGCTTCCCTGGCAGCCGAGAGCTGGAGTGGAAAAGGGAACCCCAAAACTTTGTAGGCAGATACTGCTACAAGTTAGGGCCATCATTGCCCTGTGGTACCGGGGGGAGCAGGCAGAGGCAGTGCCTGGGGCTTGCACCACTGGGGAATGGGCTGCCAGCAGTGCCGCTGGGGTGGTGGATGCAGTGCTGGTCCCTCGGGGGTAGGTCATGCCCAGGCATGGCTAGCTGGAGCTGGGGGAGGTGCAGGGGGCTAGGGCAAGAAGTCTGCTCCCACCTGAGTTCACCAGCCCTTGGGGAAGGTACTGGGTGGCACGGCTCCTTCTAGAGGTGTACCCTAGGCCTGCCCTCTTGCCCCCTTCCAACCCTGTGCCAAAACCCCTGGTTCAGCTGTCAAGCAGGTCCTTTTCTTTTCTGTCTGTCCTCAGGGTAGTGCGTGCCCCATCCCTGAGCTGGACACCTTTCGGTTGAGCCACAGACACCCACCCTGTGGGCGGTGGCTCCATTGTGTGCCTCTGATAAGTTTACCTGGGGCTGGGGAGCCAGGCCTGGGGCAGGCATGGGTTGCGTAATGCGTTTGTGGTGCTGGGAAGGGCCTGGCCGGCACAGGAGCCCTGAGCTTGCTGCTGCCCTGGGCTGTGCTCGCTGCTGGAGCCTGGCAGGGAACTGGCGCTCAGCTGCAGGGACAGCTGGGCAGGGGAAGGCAAGCCTGGACCTGGTGTGGAGCACAGGCATGACATGCAGGCTGGCGTGACCTTGGGGATCTCTGGCAGGCGCTTGGGGCGTGGGGGGAGGCAGCGTGTGCCCACACCCAGCAGGCTGGCACACTGGAGGAGGTGTCTCATCAAACCCATGCGTTGTCCTTGTGCAGGGCACAGCTGGGTGGCCCGCTGGCTGAGCTGATGGGAACAGGTCCCTGGGTACAGCTCCCCATGGTGCCAATGGCAGGGCACCCAGCCTTTGCTGTTTGATAGCTGCAGGGAGCCTCCCCTGGTCAGGGTGTGCTGGGGACCTGTGCCAAGCGCCGCAGGGCTGGTCCTGCCTTCCAGGCAGCACAGGGGCTGCCAACAGGGCACCCACATCAAGGCTGGACCCCCTGTGCTGTGCCCTGGCAGAGCTCCAGGAGCCTCAAGGGGAGGAACAACGTGGGGAAGAGCTGCTGGGCAGGATGGGTGTCACAGTCTGCCATGTGGGAAGCCCTACAGTCGCTCCAGAGCCAGCTGTGTCCCTGAGCTGTGGCCAAGCACTGGGTCCCACCTCCTGCTCTGCGCTCAGGCCATGGTGCTTAGATACAGGGGCGGCCAGGGGTCGGCAGTGCCTGACAGCCCCCTGCTTTTGGCAGGTACCCGCATCATCTACGACCGCAAATGCCAGGACCCCTCCCTGCTGCCTGCCCCAGATCCCCGGTGTCACATCCCTGGCCCAGTCCAGCCTCGTCAAGCTGGAGGAGCTCAAGGAGCGGAATGAGAGCGAAGAAGCCATGCCAGGTGAGCAGTCCAGGCACACAGCCCCTGCCTAAGCACTGCCGGGGAGCATGGGGCTCCTGCCTGGCCCCAAGGGCAAGGGGAAATCCCAGCTCAGCCCTGATTCCAGCTCTTGCCCCCTTTGCCTGCATGTTTCTCCCAAGGCAGCCCCATCCTAACCCTGGCCCTGTGTCCCTCTATACCCTTGCAGATCAAGACCAGTTTGAGATGGACATCTGAGTTTCCAGCTCCCTGTCTCCAGGCCGTGGCTGGGCCTGTTCCTGGGCCTCGTGGAGGTGCTGGCACTGTGACCAGCTGGCTGCAGCCCTCTCTGATGCTGGGGATGGATGTGTGACACCTCAGGCTCTAGCACAACTGGCTGGTGCAACTGCCTAGGAGCTCATGCTTGATCAATAAACACCATGAAACCCCTGTGCTGACCTGGTGCATCTCTATATTGGGGCTCAGCTGGGTTGTCAGAGCTGTGGGGAGGGGAGCTAAGAGGAGCTGAGCAGCATCAGGAGCCCTTTGAGGGTGTGGAGACTCTCCCTCCTGCACCGGCAGGCTGGCGGTGGTGAATGCAGGGCCTTAGCATCTGCTCCAAGGCTTGGGGTACCACATGCAGCCTGCCCCAGCTGTGCTGGGGGCAGCTGGTGAGGCCTTCCTGCAAGCATGGCAGGGAGCAGCACAGTGCAGTCTGCTTGCTGTCCAGGGTAAACATTAACACCCTTGGCCTTCCTGACCTGGGGGGATCACTAGCACTGTGATGTTTCTCCCTGGATCTCCCTGTCCCCGAGGCCACCCAGGTCGCTCGTGTCCCAGACTTTGGTCCGAGCTGTGCCAGGACAGGCAGGACCCCAGGTGGGAGCACAGGTTGTAGCTGCAGCACAAACCCTGCCTGTGGGAGGCTGCTCTGGGCTGGTGGCAGGTCGGCCTCCCCACTCAGCCTAGAACTCCTTAGGGGCAGTCTCCTCCTGCAGAAGAGCTGGGTGATGTGCCTGCTGCTGTAGGTCCCCCCCCACTGCCAAAGGCAAGGCCAGAGGGGGCCAGGCTTTGCCAGCCAGCACAGCAGGGAAATGCATCGCTGCCCACTCAGCCTGGGTCATGCTGGGGGTGCTGCCATGGGGATTCCTTCTCTTCATGTCTTGTGGGCTGGGAATACCCTGTGAGGGCAAGAGCCCCTTAGCCCTGGGAGAGAACCAGGACCCGCCTGGTGCCAGAATCCCACAGCAGGCTGTGGCCAGGGGCAGGTTAGTGCTGTTTATTAAACATCATGTAGTGAATCACCACTAAAATGTCGCAATGATTAAAATCCCCTTTTCCTGGGCAAGGACTGGAATGCAGAGGCGGCCCTTCTCCTGCTGGTGGCCCTGGGCACAGGCTGCCCTGCTCACAGTCTGCAGCCCCGTCCCTGGCATCAGGGATGCTCCTGGCCAGGCCCGGCCTCGGCACTGCCATCCGTCGCTGCAACCAGCTCTGCAGTAGGCAGGCTTCTTGTCTCGGCGATCAGGCGCTTGACACCCACCAGCCACTGGCTCACCTCATTCACATGGTCCACCATAAGCGAGCGGTGGATCTCGTCAGCTGCATCCCAGCGCTGTTGTTGGAGCTCTGCCAGGAAAGGGGAACCTATCAGTGGTGTATGGTCATCCTTCCTGTGGGTGGCCCCTGCCCAGTGGCCTGGTGCTAGCCCAGATGCAGCCCCCACTTGCCCCTCACCTTGCACCAGGAGGTTCATCCTCTTCCTCACTGGGGCCGACAACTTCCCCTGAGCCCATGCATCCTCCAGCACTGTCAGCCGCCGCCCAATGTCGTCGCACACTTGTTTCTGAAAGCAGAGTTGGGCTGGAGGGGGGGAACCTGACCCCCACCACCTCTGGGGCACCCCCAGGGCAGGGGTGGCTCTCCTCGCCCCACAGGCATCAAGGGAACAGGCAGCCCCTGCCTGCTGTCCCTCCTGTGCCCCTGCAGAGCATGGGGCAGAGGTGGAGGAAGGGGCTGAGGCCTCACCTGCACCGTGGGGCGGCAGGCAGCGAGGGCCTCCCTCAGCGGGACGAGGATGGCGTCGGCAGGCAGGCTGCACTCCTCTGGGCCGTGCTCCTCCGGGCCTGCCGCAGCGCTTGGCCTCCTGCTCTCTGCCCGCGGGGCCGGGCTGATGGTCCCGAGGGGGGGTGGCCCTGGCGCTCGGCGGGGCAGCGCTGTGGAGGCAGCAGAGGCAGCAGGGGCACTGGCCAGGTCTGGAGGAGCACCTGCAGAGAACAGGTACCGGCACAGAGCCCCATCAGCCCCGGGGACACCAGCCGGGCACCGGGAGCTGCACCCTTGTCACCCCCATCAAGCAGGCACAGCAGGAGGCGGGGGCTCAGGCCCCAGGACCCCCCGCCCATGATGCCCCTCTGCCTGCACAGGGCTGGCGCTGCTGTGCCGGCATTGTCTGGCCTCTGCACGCCCAGGGCCAGGAGCGAGGGCAGGAGATGGGGCAGGGAGAGCCAGATCCAACGCCCAGGCCGGGCTGTGATTCCCACCGGATCCAAGCGGGAAGAGGGACCCGGACCCGCAGAGGAGAGGAGAGGCCCCTGCGACGCCGCCAGCCCGGGGGCTGCGCTGGGTCCCGGCTTCCCCCGGAGCAGCCCCCGGCTGGGCAGCAGTGAAGCAGGGTGGGCCGGGGGTTTTGTGGGTGCTGACCTGGGGGAGCCCGGCGGGTGAGCGGGGTTCGCCTGGGCCCCCCAGCCTGCGCCTGCAGCCCGTAGGAGAACTGGGGGGGGGCGGTCCAGCCAC